ACTCCCACCAAAAGTGAGTAAGGGTTCCAGTTTCTCCACAACCTCACCAGCATTTGTTGTTTGCTGCTCTGTTGAATTTTGCTATTTTTACTGGGGTGAGATAATACCTAATAGTTGTTTTTATTTTCATCTCTCTTAGAGTTAGGGATTTTTAACATTTCTTCATGTGTTTGTTCGCCATCTCTAAATTCAGATAAGATATGTTCAAAGTTGTTGATTTATCCGCTTGAGCTTTCCTATTGCTCATATTGATGGCTGTTCCACGATTGGCCCCTATACTTGTTCTGGCTGATAATACTAATCTTGATCTTTTCTACTATTACTTCAGTGAATTTGATTCTTATGTAGTCTGTCTGATGAGGTCCACATGTATAATTAGTTAATAGTAATACTGTTGAAAAAATGTGTTTGCAGTCATTGGTCTTTAAAAAGTCTATTATGAATTCACCAGTATTGTATCTGCCAATCCAGGCCAGATTTTCCAAACCACTGATCCCTCCTTGTTTCAAACTGTTACATTCCAATTACCTGTAATTATCAGCATCTTGATTGCATATTTGATCAATTGCAGACTGCAGTAGTTGATATGAATCTTTATTCATCTTTTACTTTAGTTGTTGTTATCTACATAGGAATGCTATATAGCTAGGTCTTCCCTATTATTTCTGTTGTTAGGTGTTGTCAGGTGTTACTCATAGTCACCCTATGAACAACAGATCTAAACCTTGTCCTATTCTGTGCCATTCCTAACATCTCTGGTATACTTGATCCCACTGCAGGAGCCACTGTGTCAGTCCATATCATTAAGGGTCTTCCTCTCCTTCACAGACCCTCCACCTTTCCAAGTTTGAAGTCCTTTTCCAAGGAATAGCTTGTCCTAACAACATGCCCTAAGTATGTGAAATGAAGTTTCACTATACTTGCCTCTAAGGCGCACTGCATTTTCTCCAAGAAATATGTATTCTTTTGGCAGTCCATCGGACTTGGCAGCATTCTTCCCCAACACCACAGCTCAAAGGCATGAATTTTTCTGTTATCCTCGCTCATTGTTCATCTCTCAGCTGCATAGCAGGTGATTGAAAGGACTCTGGATTGAATCAGGTGCACCATAGTGTTTAAGCTGTCATCATTGCTCTTCAATACTTTCAGAGGTCACCCGCCCAGACTTTTACCAGTGCAATACATATTTTGATTTCTTTACTTCTGTTACTGATGGTGTTGGTTATAGATCCAAGCAAGATTAAATCATTGACAACTTCATTCTTTTTCCACCTGTCATGATGTTACTTTTTGGCCCTGTGGTGAGGGTCTTTGCTTTCTTGATGTTAGTATGTATAGTCTTCGATCTTCCTCAAAAAAGGCCTGACAGTCTTCCTCACTTTTAGCAAGCAGGATTATGTTATCTGCATAACACAGGTTGTTGATGTCTTTTCCTCCAATCCTGATGCTCCATTCTTTGTAAAGTCCAACTTCTTGAATGATTTTTTTCAGCATACAGATTGAAAAGGTATGAAGAGAGGATACAGCCCTGTCACAATCTTGGCTTGATGTTAAACCATGCAGAGTTCTCTTAGTTCTTTCTGTTTAAATAGCAACTTCTTGGTCTAGGTATAGGGTTTTTTATAAACACGGATAAGTGTTCTGGAATCCCCATTCTCCTCAGTGTTAGGCATAGCCATCCACACAGTCTCATACTTTTGCACAGTCAATAAAACACAAATAGACATTCTTCTGGTATTCTCTGTGCTTTCAGCCAAGATCTATCTGATATCATCAGCAATGATATCCCTATTGCCACAGCCTCTTGTAAACCCAGCTTAAACTTCTGGCAGTTTTTGTCCATCTACTGTACTAGCTAATTTTATATGATCTTCAGAAATATTTTTGCTTGCAGATGACATTAATGATACAATTCAGAAATTTCTACATTCTGTTGTATCACCTTTCTTGAGAATGGGTCTTTTCTTTCTCCTCTGTCTCTGAATGGCCTTTTGCTTTCATCTAGAATGATGTCTTTGATATCATCCCATAGCTCATCTGGTCTTTTGGCATTACTGCCCAATGCTTCAAACCTATTCTTGAGCTTGTTTTTAAATTCAGGTGAGATAGTCTCAGGTTTGTATTTTTGTTCTTGTGGACTTGATGTTTTCTTCAACTTCAGTTCTAACTTGCACATAAGTAATTGATGGTCTATTCCACAGTCAGTCCCTGGCCTGGTTTTGACTTCTGATATTGAGCTCCTCCAACAATTCTTTCTACAGATGAAGTTAGTCTGAGTCCTGTAAAAACCGTTAGGTGAGGACGCAATGAATGTACAAAATTCACTCTACCTCCAGCCTCATTTCCCTTGCCAAGTCCATAATTTCTGATGACCACTCTATCTACTTTGTTTCCAACTTTTGTATTCTAGTCACCAGTTCTTATTAATGCAGCTTGATTGCATGTTTGATCAATTTTAGACTGTAAAAATTGGCTATTGTTTGTTGTTGCTGTTAGGTGTCATCGAGTCGAGTGTGACTCATAGAGACCCTGTGAACAATGGCTTTGAACCCTGCCCTAGCCTTTGCCACCTGTGCACTTCCTCACACACTAGAACCCATTGTGGCAGTCACCTGTGTTGATGAACTTTTGAATAACTGTTTTATAATCAAGTCTTCCTTGAACATATATGAATAACATCCTATCACTCAAAATATTGAACTTTAACAACAAATGAAAAAAAAAACACCAATGAGTGTAACACCATTTTTATGTTCCAGCATAGTAGATCATAGGACTATCTGATTAAAAGTGGCCAGTGCCAATTTATTTCATTGCCCCTCCTTCTCCAACAGAGCATCTGGTGGATTAAAATGTCTTATCTTTATACATTCCATTTCATTTTTTTTTTACAACTTCCAGTTTTCCTGCATTAATACCTCATACAATGCATGTACCAAAAAACCTGTTTCTGCTCATTTTTAGTGCATTTCACTCTACCTAGTATTATGTCTAATAGTATTCCTCTGTTGCTCTTAGGGTTTCCAAAGGCCAGGTTTTTCAGAAGTAGATGGCCAGTCCTTCTTTATAGTCTGCTTAATCTAAAAGCTCCCTGCTTCTTCACTACAGCTTCTCTCGGTCTTCCTTATAGGTGGCTGGATATTGTCATATCACTGATACCATTGCCCTTCTAGTTTGAGAAATGTTCTTTTTAATGATGAATGAGACACCATTGCTCTTTAATTTGTTACTCCCACTATAGTAAACCATAGGATCATCTGCTTCAGAATGGCCAATACTAGTTCATTTCAGTTACTAATACCTAGGATCTACTTCCTAAACAGCATGCCTCTGGAAACTCTATGAATTTTGATAAATGACGATAGTTATTATACAAAGGCTTCAGGCCTTTAGTTCATAGGGTCGCTATGAGTCATACTGGGCTTGATGGCAGTCAACAATACCTAGGATATCAATCTTTATACATCTATTTCATTCTTGGCAAATTCCAATTTTCTTAGATTCAGACTTTGTATATTTCACATTCCCAGGTGAATGTGTGTGGTTGTTTTTCTCATTTTGCATTCTGCCATATCTGCAAACAAAGGGTCTGGAAGCTTTACTTAATCCATGTCATTAAGATAGACTCTGCTTTCTGAACGTGATCCTCCCAGTCATATTTTACATGTCTTCCAACTGGTGGGGCTCATCTTCTGGCACTGTATCAGATAGCGTTCCACTGCTATGCATAACATTTTCACTGGTTATGTCTTTGAGAAGTAGATTTCAAGACTTGCTTCCTAATCTGTCTTACTTGGTATGCTCTGTTGAAACTTGTCACCATGGGTGACCTTGCGGATATTTCTGATATTTGAGGTACCAGGAGCACAGCTCCTGATAGCAAAGCAACAAACAAGTTAGCACAGAACAGAATATCAGTTGGGAGGTGAGGGTGCATGTTATTTGTATAAAAACAAGAAAATAGAGTGACAGTATTTTTCATTTTTCTGCCATACATATAGAAATAGCTCCTTTTTTATTATGTACTCCATATTTTTTAATTCCTAATAATCATATCAACCATATAAGGTTAAGTACTACTTCTCTCTGTTTACAAGGAAAGAAACTAACTGTCCAGTATATGGCGGAGCTTGAATATAAATCCAGTCCTGTTTTCTTTTTTTTTACCACTTTTTCTCCTTCCTCTCAACAGAAGAGTGTAGCTAGCGATTAGAACACCTTGTTACTGCAAAGCAGCTGCCTAGCCAAATGATCTTTGAAAGCTGTTCAAAGCCCCAGGTCCCTGAATTTGCAGCTCTGTCTCCAAGTAGCCTCTTCCCCATGTCTGAGAGTGTTGGCTCCAAGGACAAGCTCCGAGATGCCACCCCCCTTTGTACTAGATGCCTCATCACCTTATAAGCAGCATGAACTACAGGACGTGAATCCAGGCAGCCTTTGACTCCACACTGTGTTTTGGACCATCTTCACCTTGTTCCCCTCAAATTTTCTGCCAAACAAATATTGGAACATCATCTCAGACAACATGTCCATGGTAGACTAAAGAAGGAGGTGAACACATAATGTGGTTACGAACTAAGTCTAGTTTTTTAGACTATTTATTGCATTCTTTTTTGCTTCATGGTAAGCCAACACCCTAACAAGAAACTAAAAGTAAAGATATTTAAAAAGCACAAAAATATGGTACATGTTATCAGGAATAGTTCTGGACCTCACGCTCTTTTCTTCTCTTTCTTTTTTTTAAGTTTTTTTTAAAAAACAGCAACCAAAGAGGGAAAATCTGCCCGTATTCAGTGGTTAGCATTGTATACCAAAATAAAACTCAAGCTCCTTAGTAAGACATTCCATAGGCACCAAGATTCAGTCTGTTGCTACCCCTCCAAGGTCACCTTCTCCTTCCCCCATCTAATAGAATCAGGAGGCAGAAGAAAATAGAATCTAATAGAAATTGTCTAACAGTACAATTTCCGAGTGTTTCATACTCTCTGGCTGTGCCTGTACTGTTCCCTCTTTTCTCTTCCATTATCTCCTTTGAGAGTCAGCCCAAGTGGCCCTTTTCCAGGAAGCCTACCTTCCCTGCATCCTGGCTTTAGCTAAACTCTTACCCTTGAAACCCTGTCCTGACATCTGGTTTAGTGTGAATCCCATTACTGTTCCTGCAAGGTTGATTCCAATACATTGCAATCCCATAGAACTTGTTTCCAAGGGTCAAAGACTACAGCCTTCAGTATGAATTACATTTCAACATCAAGAAAACAAAATCCCTCATCATTGGCCCAATAGGAAATAACATGATAAATGGAAAAAACATTAACATTTTAGACAAGTACATCATGCTTGGATCCACAGTAAAACCCTTGGCACCACCAGTCAAGAAATCAAAAGATGTATTGAACACAAGATTGTTCAGCAAAAGGGACATGCTTGTTCCCTCAGAGTATGGTTTGATAGGGATAAGCAAATCAGAAATTGGCTATCTAAAATGGCATATATTCAAATCCAGACTCCTATCTAACTTCAGGAATTAAATACATGCAAATAATTTAGAACTGTTTGGGGTGATTTTTGGTTTTGTTTTGTTTTCATTTAATTTAGAAAGTTCTTCCTCTCAGAGGTTAATAGTGGAAATCTCGCTACCCAGCCTTACAAAATTAAAAAATCTTAGTGGCAAGGAGTACATGTAATGTAACAATAAAATGATCTAAAATTCATCTATTAAAAAAATGCAGTGGAGATATTAAGGCATGAGACATGAAGTAGCTGACTTACACGCTTTCATTAATTTGTTGTTGTTGTTGTTGTTGTTGTTGTTGTTATGTGCCGTCAAGTCGCTTGAGACTCATAGCGACTCTTTGTACAACAGCTCTAAGCTCTGCTCTGTCCTATGCCAGTCGCACTGTCTCCGACACTCCCATCCCGATTATCCCAGTCACTGAATCAATCCATCTCCCAGAGGGCCTTCTCCTCCTGCGCCTGCCCTCCACCCTCCCAAGCATGATGTCCCTCTCCAAGAACCGGTCCCTCCTTACAACATGACCAAAGTATGTCAGATGAAGCCTCAGAATCCTTGCTTCCAAGGAGCAGCCCATTTTAACCCTCTGTAGGATGAATCTGTTTTCTTAGCAGTCCATGGCACCCTCAGCACTATTCTCCAACATCAAAGCTCTAAAGCATCAATTCTCCTTCTGTCCTCCCTGGGCATTGTCCAACTCTCTGACGCATAACAAGTGATTGCAAACACCATGGCCTGTAACAGACGCACCTTAGTCTCCAGAGACACAGTGTTGCTCTTGAGTACATTAGAGAGGTCCCTAACAGCAGACTTTCCTATCGCAATACGTCTTTTAATTTCCTGGCTGCTGATGCCAAGAGTGTTGATTGTGGAGCCAAGCTGACTAAAGCTGTGAACAGTCTCAGTCTCTTCACCATCCATCCTGATGCTACCAATTGGTCCAGTGGTGAGAATCTTTGTCTTCTTGACATTGAGCCTCAATCCATACTGGAGGCTGCAGTCCCTGACCCTAAGCAGCAAGCTCCTCAGGTCCTCCTCAGTTTCAGCAAGCAGAGTTGTGTCATCTGCATAACGCAGATTGTTTATAGATCTTCCACCAAACCTGATGCTACGTTTCTCCTCATAGAGCCCATAGTTATCAATAAGATGATCATAAAGGGAGCTCTGGTGGCCTAGCGGCAAGAAGCTACTCTGCAGTCCCGAAGGCGCACGGTTTGAATCCATCAGATTCTCCACTGGAGAAGGAAGGGCAATCTCCTATGCCAGTCGGATGTGTTTTGATGTTATACAACAAAAAAGAAAGGAAGAAAAAAATAAGATGATTGGGGGGGGTGCAGAACACAATATGCATGATACAGTGTAAATGGAAGAATGTGTAAAACACAATGTATGTGTATGAAATAAAAGTGTATGAATTTTGTATGCAAACCAATAAAAATAACATAATTAAAAAAGAAGACATACAGTGTTTGGGAATCTGTCAGAGACCTCTACGAAATACTGAGGAGAAGTGATTAAGGTGTGCCTAATTCAAGATACGGTCTTTTAAATCTCTTGATGTGCATCTGAGAATTGGGCAGTAAATAAGGATGACAAAAGAAAAATTGAGGAGCTCCGCGTCAGGCGCCACAGGGCTCGGGACGCATGTGGGGCCGCTGCTGCTCGCCTCTCCTCCCGCGCGGGCAGGCGGGCGCCGCCGCGACGCCCCCTGAGGCGGCGTGTGTTTCAAGACGACCAACGAAGAACCTCTTCACAAAAAGGTTCACTTGAGTGAAACAGACTTCAAAGTTATAGCTGGAGATGAGTTAATTCTAAGATGGAAGCAGTATGAAGTATATGTGCAAGATTTGGAGGGCAAGTACACAGATCTTAATTCTAATGATGTAACTGGCTTAAGGGCATCTGCAGAAAAACTGAAGCAGCAACAGCAAGAGTCTGCACGCAGAGAAAACATCCTTGTAATGAGACTAGCAACCAAGGAACA